ATTTTATTTACTTTTTCTTTAGAATATTTTTTAGTTCAATTAAATTTTTTGGAACTTATTTTATTTTTTTCCATTTAAAATATTTATTTTTAGTTTTTTACATAAATTTTGTTTTAATTTTTTAGATTTTATTGTGTGAGATAGAAAAATATTTTTTTTTTTAATTTCATTAAATCTAAAAATTTATTTTATTTATTTCAGTTTAATTTTTTATTCTTTAGTTACTTTTATTTTCTTTTAAATTTTAAATTTTATTGTTTCAAAAAGAGAAATACATTTTCTTTATTTCAATTTTTAAGACCTTATTAATTTTTTTTAAATTGCTTTTTTGTCATTTTTATAAATAACATTATTTTTAATCTTATTTAAAATTGAAGTGTTATTTCCTTCTCTTTTGCTTTCTTTTTTCTAATTTAATTTTCTTTTATTTATTAATTTTTATTGTTTTGAGAAGAAAAATATGTTCATATATTTTTTAATTTAATTTAATTTTTAAAAATTTTAATGCTAAAAGGCGAACAGCGCACAGTTGCCAGAATTGCCCTGTGAGACCTCAATTTTATATCTTTTCAGCAGTCACATTTTTTACGCGAATTCTTTGATTGGCTTTGTCTTTTTTTGCCCTTAAAAAGCGCTATTGCGCAGATAAAAGTCTTCAAAGTTGCAGATGTTCGAAAGCTGTCGAAAGATTGCCCAAAAAGTAACAAAAAACCAACTTCGTATGGCCTTTCTTGTTTTTTTTTTTTCAATTGAATGGGTTCTCGCGTTGTGCCTTATTTTTTTATTTTTTACTTTATTCGTTTTCTCAGTCTCGTTTCCCCTTTTTGTATCATTGTATCTGCGTCGGATGCAGTAAACGCTTTTAATTCATTCTCCTTCATTTGGCTTCTTGTTGAACGATCATTTGTTTGCCCCTAAAATGGCAATTGCAATCTTTACTTCCTCCCATCATGGTCATTCAAAAATTCTGCGAGTTTTTTGCCTTAATTTAGTACTTCCTGTTGACAAAAACAACTCCATCAATGAATCAATGAATTAATGCAGAAAGAAATAAAATTAAGCTACATATATATGTGTGTACATACAAATGAACATAAAATTTTACGACATTCGATTTTGTTGCTCGAATTTTACGTGGTCATTGATAGAAAATATAATGTTCTATTTTTTTTTTTGTTTTGGTCTAAATTCGCCTCGAGACACGACACGTGTGTTCGAAGAAGGTTTGCGCTCAAAAATATAATGCCACAAAAATCCACTCGATTTAATAAATATTTAAGTATGTACTATCAGTAATCCTTTCGTAGTCGTAAATTTTCTTGATAGCTAAGCAAAACACAAGTTCTTCATTGCCGCCAACATTGCGGTGACTCACAAAATTCTTAGTTGAATTTTTTTTGTTTGTTTCTTTTTGTGCTTTTTAATTTGGTTGTTGACTGTTTTGTAGCTTTTCGATATTAAATGTTGTTGTTGAGTGTGAATGAATTTCGAAAATAGACGACATCCGGTCTGTGGACGAGACCGCTTAAGAATACAAAAAATAGATATGTATGTACAACCAAAGACGCTTTTATATACACTCGTACCTACCCAGTAGGAAGGGAGACCAGATGCTGTTTTAATAGCCGTAGTTCAACAAAAAAAATTTGAATGAACTCTACATTCTGAGCTTATATATAATTCGCGTTTAATTTTTTCGAACGCTAGCGAGGTTCTTTGTGTTTCGTTGTTTGGGTGTTACAATGTTATGTATGTATGGGAATAGATATTTCTAGCTCTAAGGTTGGGGCATAATCTGATAACGGGAGCCTCTGTAATCTTTCGTATTCCAGGCTATTAAAATGTCTTATGGGCTTAACTTTTTTGCAAACTCTTCAACGCCAACAATAATTGAAAAATAAATAGCGAATAAAGAAATTCTAAGCGGGTTACATTTTTAAAATTAGGATACTCTTATCAGATGGAAAATAAAACAATAATTAAAATTTTTTTAATAATAAAACCACAAGCAGACTCTAAATTTGGTGATTAAATTACAAAAACTTTTCTAAAAATCATATTTTTTATCGGTTCGAGAAAAATTAGATTGATTCGGAAAATCATCTACTTAAAATGAGAGCTCAAGATCTAACCCAGTTTTTGTTTGACAAAATTTGCTATTTGGAAGAGCACCACATCAGAGTAGAGATGCCAGATCAAAATAAAAAAATTGATTTTTAAATCGATTCGAATCGAAATAAAAATAATCGATGCAGCCAGAAATAGTGAAAAATGTTTTCTTAAATTTGTCATCTCATCAACACTGAAATTACGAGCAATAATGTAAGTAATTTTTAAACCATGCATTTCTTATAATGGGTTCAATATATGTGGGGTATTCACAACGGCGTCGTATTGTTGTATGTCGTAAACTTGAAACGCCTAAAAAATGTATTAAGGGGGTTCGCAAAGTGCCATCAAAGTCATATTATGAATTTTCAGTGTTAAAAAATAGTTGGTGGTTGTTTCAAGTTCTCTAAACGTTTAATTAAGCTTTTAAAGTTTACGACATACAACAATATGACACTTACGATACCGTTGTGAATCCCTCACTAGATTAATCCAAAAACTATCAGATAGCTAACAATCGAATGTTTGCATCAACTCACGGATCGAATCGGAACTAGAAAGTCGACAAAAAATCGAATTGGAAGGGTATGATTAATCGATCTCCGATTTTAATATTCACAACGTTTTTCAAGTAAACTTTTTCTCGTAAATTTTTATTTTTATAAAAATATTGTTTATGCTTTAATCAAAACCATATATATCAAACTTTCAAACTACTTTATAAAAAAATTAGAAAAATTCAAAAAATTTTATTTAACATTTCGAACTTTTTAATCCAAATTTTAGTGGAATAGGTAATTGTTGGGTATAAAGTTTTGTGGCCCATCAAGTTTTAATACAATAAAAAGTAAGTTTCAAGCGGCTCACAAACATGCATTTTTTTATAAAAAAAATCCGAAAATCCAAAAAAGACCGGCGTCAAAAAAAAAGTAAAGTAATCAATTTGATGAAACTTTTTCTAAATTGTGTAGATATAACATCTATAGGGACAATATTTTCATAGAAAAATAACAAAAAAAGTTAACTTGAAACACATTGTGAATATCTATTAAAAAAAATTAACATGTGAGCACTTTTTTGAGTCACTGTACGTACTGCGTTGTCATGGTAGAATACGCTATTCAGCCAGCGAATCTGAGTTTAGTGGTTCGAATCCCATTGATTAACATTTTTATTTTTAAAAAGAGGACTATTTCCATTAAATATCGTCGGATGAGTAGAAGAGCGCCCTATCTGGGCTGCAGGTTTGAAAACGCCCTATCTTAGCAAACGGTTGAAGAACGCCCTATCTCAGAATCTGGTTCAAACGGACAGGCGATCTTCCACTCAGCCGTCGATATATTATTTTTTCATAAGATATGCTCGTAAAAAAATCGAATAGTTCTTTCATATGGAGAGATAAAAAGTGGTTCTAGTCACCTGTCTCTTTGTGACTGATTTCCAAGCCATCATGGACTAGCTATGATTTTGCAGTGCATGCAGACGGCATTCAATCAAACACTTACTCTAACATAAGATTGCAACTATAATCGTGTTTGGCTGAAATATTTTAAAAACAAGATCATACTTATTAAAAAAATTTGTTATAAAAAAATTTAAATATAAAAATAAAAAATTAATGAATGAATGTAAAGACACCATTTTTTCGACAGCTATTTTTACGTATGCAACTGAGTGTCGGTGTAAATATGAGTGTAAGAGTGTGTGCGCGTGATTTAAAAAAACATGCATGGTGTGGGCACTTGAATGTGCGTAAGCTGAATGGATGCGTGGGCGCTAACGTATGTACATATGTACATATGTATGTATGTCCGTACATATGCATTTAAAAGTGTCTACTTCAAAAAGAAATTTACTGTCAACAGACTTGTCAGAAACTGCAGCTGCGCTTCAAAATGCAATTTGCTTTTATTAGCTCACCAAATATGTATAGATGTATGTACACACACATCTACAAATGCATGCATATTTATTGGTCGACATCAAATTTTGCTCACCTGGAAAAACATGCTGTCAATACGAGTATGTATGCATGTACATACATGCAAAGTGGCCATTAATTTCTCTGAGGCTAGAAAAGCGATTTAAAAACAACATTTTTAATACCTTAAGCTATGTAAAATAACTGTTAGTTGTTGGCTGAAAATATTTGATTACGCACTATTTGTTTTTTTTTTGTCATTTTAATTAGGTGCTGTTATCTTCTAAATACTCGTTTTCGCTGTTTTAACGTCACCAACAGGAAATGTCGAAATAGCAACATCCTGTTTTTAAGTACCTGACTCATAAACACATTTTGTGGGCATAAACGTCAAAGAAAATATTGTTTTATGTTTACGATTTCTACTAAGGAAGAAGTGTTTGTTCGACAAGTATTTATGCAGAACCAATAAAGAGAATTTTTTTTTATAATCAAATTTTGGTGTTTATTTGTTATATTTTATAATTAATTAAATTTGGAGAATTTTTGGTAATTGAAAATTTTGAAGTTGGACATACATTTTTGGTAGTCGAAAACATTTCCATAATTCATTGCCAATTTAAATGCTCTCTGGGAATTTTGAAAATGGACAATAAATTTTGGTAGTTTTAAATTTGGAAATATTGTAATTGAAAATTAATGATTAGTTTTTGTTGCTCTCAAAACTGGTTATAAGTTATTGGAAAACAAACAAAAATACTTGCATTTACAGTATCGGTAATATCTATAGCACGCCATTTCAATGTGATATATTGTGTGCCACTTATGTTTATTTATTTATTTTTAAGAATTTTCTATTAAAAGATAGTTCATTCTTCGTCTGAGAATAAACGCCTTAATAGAAGACTCGAAACTTTAAACCAAATAATGAATATTAACTAATGTCTCTATTTTTATTATCTATTTGCAGTTTGTTGACATTGGCATTGTAACGTCCATTGAATCGAACCACAAACAAATAGAAAGCGCACGGAAAGGACAAGAAATTTGCATAAAAATTGAACCGATACCCGGCGAATCACCGAAAATGTTTGGACGACATTTTGAAGCTGACGATATGCTTGTGAGCAAGGTAAGTGTAAAATAAAATGCTAAATAAAAATACTACTAAGTACTAGCAACTGTAATTTTTTTTATTTTGCGCACAAATACATCGGTTCTATGGTTTCAATTTTTCAAAATATATTACCTGATCTAGAAAAACGGTAAACAGATCCGTAATCTACGACCCAAAATTAACTTTACGTGCCATTTAAGCGGATTTAATAAGATTATGAATTTTCTTCCAATATTAAAATTTTTTCTAAAAAAAAAACGTTTTTTCTAAAATTAAATTTTTTTCCTAAATTTAGCGTTTTTAAATTTAATTTTTTCTGTAACTTAATTTTTTTCTAAAACGTAATTTTTTTCTGAAGCTAAATTTTTTTTAAACTGCAATGTTCTATAGTTTTCTAAAAGTTTAAGTTCATTCTGGAACTAAATTGTTTTTTTCTAAAGATTAAATTTATTTCAAAAATTTATTTCTTTTTTATAAATATTTTTTAATTTTTCTAAAATTTCCTTTCATGTTTTTAGATAAAGAATTCGTTTTTTT